ATTGGAAAATTGGTGACAAACAAATTTAGAGAAGAGGTGTGTGGATGAACCTCTCTGAATGGTCAAAACTGTGAAGATATTTGTATCCCATGTGAGTGCTCACCAACAGGTGACCTTAGTGGAGGAGGAGTTTAATAATCAAGTGGATAGGATGACCCATTCTGTGGATACCACTCAACCTCTTTCCCTAGCCACTCCGTCATTGCCCAATGGGCCCATGAACAAAGTGGCCATGGTGGCAGGGATGGAGGTTACACATGGGCTCAGCAACATGGACTTCCACTCACTAAGGCTGACCTGGCTTCGGTCACTGCTGACTGCCCAATTTGCCAGCAGCAGAGACCAACACTGAGCCCTCGATATGGCACCATTTCTTGGGGTGATCAGCCAGCTACCTGGTGACAGGTTGATTATACTGGACCTCTTCCATCGTGGAAAGGGCAGAGGTTTGTCCTCACTGTAATAGACACTTACTCTAGATATGGGTTTGCCTATCCTGCAAGCAATGCTTCTGCCAAGACTACCATCCATGGACTCACAGCATGCCTTATCCACCATCATGATATTCCACACAGCATTGCTTCTGACCAAGGCACTCACTTTACTGCTAAAGAAGTGTGGCAGTGGGCTCATGCTCATGGAATTCACTGGTCTTACCATGTTCCCAATCATCCTAATGCAGCTGGATTGATAGAACGGTGGAATGGCCTTTTGAAGTCACAATTACAATGCCAACTAAGCAACGATACTTTGCAGAGCTGGGGCATAGTTCTTCAGAAAGCTGTGTATGCTCTAAATCAATGTCCGATATATGGTACTGTTTCTCCCTTAGCCAAGATTCACAGATCCAGGAATCAAGGGGTAGAAGTGGAAGTGGCACCATTCGCCATCACCCCTAGCGATCCACTAGCAAAAATTTGCTTCCTGTTACCACAACATTACGTTCTGCTGGCCTAGAGGTCTTAGTTCCAGAGGGAGGAATGCTGCCACCAGGAGACACAACAACTATTCCATTAAACTGGAAGTTAAGATTGCCACCTGCACACTTTGTCTCCTCCTGCCTTTAAGTCAACAGGCTAAGAAGGGAGTTACAGTGTTGGATGAGGTGATTGACCCGGACCATCGAGATGAAGTGTGTCTACTACTCCGTAATGGAAGTATGGAAGAGTATGCATAGAATACAGGAGATTCGCCAGGGCATCTCTCAGTATTACCATGCCCTGTAATTAAGGTCAATGGGAAACTGCAACAGCTCAGCCCAGGCAGGAGTACGAATGGTTCAGACACTTCAGGAATGAAGGTTTGGGTCACTCAACCAGGAAAAAAAAACCCACAACCTGCTGAGGTGCTTGCTAAAGGCAAAGGGAATACAGAATGGGTAGTAGAAGAAGATAGTCATCAATAGCAGCTACAACCACGTGACCAGCTCCAGAAATGAGGACTATAACTGTCATGAGTATTTCCTCCTTCTTTTGCTAAAAACGTATTTGTGCATGTATATACTTGTACTAAGAAAATATCTTCATTTTATTTCCTTTTCCTTTATCATGTGACATAAGATTTACTGACTTCATATCAGCATTTTAGGTATTGTTAACTTTGTGTAACAGTATTTGGGTTGGGGATTAGTGAGTTTCCCATTGTATGAAGGATAGTTGTGTTATGTTAGGCATAATTATGACCTCATTATTTTCTTAATTTGAAGATTATGTATGATCTCAGGAGATATGTATGGGTTTGAGTTGACAAGAGGTGAATTTGTGATGATTAATACTGAGTGTCAACTTGATTGGATTGAGGGATATAAACTATTAATCATGGGTGTGTCTGTGTAGGTGTTGCCAAAAGAGCTTAACATTGAAAGGTGGGCTGGGGAAGGCAGTCCACCTTTAATCTGGTGGGCACCATCTAATCAGCTGCCAGCAAATATAAAGCAGGCAGAAAAATGTGAAAAAGAGAGAGATGGGCCTAGCCTCTCAGGCTACATCTTTCTCCCATGCTGGATCCTTCCTGCCTTCTAACATCAGACTCCAAGTTTTTCAGTTCTGGGACTTGGACTGGCTTTCCTTGTTCCTCAGTTCACAGACAGCCTATTGTGAGACCTTGTGATCATGTAAGTTAATACTTAATAAACTCATATATATATACACACACACACATATATATGTGTATATATACATACAATTCATATATATATATACACACACACACATATACATCCTATTAATTCTGTCCCTCTAAGAGAACACTAATACATCTGACTTGATGCAGATAGGTAAATAGAGCAGTATATTTATCTCAAACCATCTCTTCTCTGTCTCTCTCTCTCTCCCCCCTCTCTCTGTCTCTCACACTCCCTCTCTACACTTCTTCCCCTTCATCAACCTCCCCACCTATGATTGGCACACACTGAAGAGGCAAAGATTCACCTTTGTCAAGGATCAAGAGGTAGCTCAGGGTTCTGTGAAACACAAGGAGATGTGGTTTACCTTGCTGGGGGCTACACAGCAGGAGCTCAGGAGAAAGTTCCCCAGGAGCAAGGTGTTAGAGAGCTGCCAGGCCAAAGCCAAGGCACAAATATAAAACTCACCACTAAATCTCCATAGGGACCAGACACAAGAGGGATCCCAGTTCTTCAAAGGGGATGAAAGGAAGTCAAACTGAAAATATCCCAAGTTAAAAATGTCCATCAGATGTCAAACAATAGCAGCTTCTGACCCAAATAGACTCAAATAGGGCTCCAAATTTTTTTTTTTTTTTTTTTTGGCTGGCATATACATTGGAATTTTTCTAGTAAATGCCAACATTTAGAAACTGAGATGTTTCACATAAAAATCCAGATTGCAGTCTTCCTAGAAAAACCAAAAGGAAGCCTGCGTTCTCACTTAGCAGCATGGCCAGTGAGATGTAGTGGGGCTACAAACCCGCCCTACCCCAGACTACATCGGGTCTCTGTGGTACAATCAAATCACTTGTGTTAATCGCCTGGCCCACAGGCATTGAGTTTCAATGCCAGTGTAAAGTTCTTTGAATCCATGAGTTAGATAAATTGAAGCAGTTACAGGACTAGAAATGAAGTGGGTAAACACAACGTTTTCATAGAAAACATAAGTTTTGATAAGTCACTAGACAACTGCTCAATAGTGTTTTCATAAGTCATTGTCTGCTTTTTATTACCGGTTACAGTGTGTTTGTTAATCTCATTCATTGGAGTATGAGATGACTGTTTATTCCTTCACTACACAAAGTAACTACTATGAACCAGGCATTGTTGTAGGTTCTAGAAATACTTCAGAAGACAGTCTCTTCTCTTGTAGAGAGAATTCATGAGAGAATTCATCGTCATTTATTGTGACGAGGTAGATAAGAAACCATCAAGTGTGATTGCGTAAACTGATAATGATTTGAAGCAAATTAAGCCAGAAAATGTGGGGGAAGGCTAATTTAGATAGGGTTAGATTTTCCAGTCAACCATTTTTTACCATGTGGAAAATGATAGGAGATATACACCTCCTCTCCCCCACCCCAAGGTTAAAGCCCACTTCCTCTCTTCTAGAATGTCTCAAGGGGTAGCTTTACTAACTACATTTTGCCTTTCAAACCAAAAGATCTACACGAAGTAGAAAGTTAGGTAATTATACAGACAGCTCCAGGCTTAACAAGGTGGTTTGCCTAAATCTCTTAAGTGCCTAGTTGAGAACAGCCCACTTAGTTGATGTAGCTCTAAATATTCTGAAAACATTGCTAACCTCCTGGTTTGCTGCTTAGACAATGAGATCATTTCTCTGATGTGTGGATATTACTTTACCAAGTAATCATGAATATTTTACCCTACTCACGTTTCAATCACTCATTTGTCCACGTGAGAAAATTTTCTCATTAATACAATGAGAAAATGAGGATCATGTAGTAAAATAAACACGATTTTAACTGGAGTAATATTTAATATATCTTTGTGTGTTTTTGAGAAATATATAGCATGGAACACATTTCTGAGGTATACTACTCATCTATGAGAATGTTTAAAATCTAATTTCATAGAATTGCATCTGAAATCATTTATCTTATTAAAACCACACTAATCACGAAGCCCCTTTAGGCTATTTTCTGTATTTCAACCAAATATGTCTCACCAGTAAGTTCTTTTATATCATCATTCAACAGCTTCTTCATTTATAAAAACAGTCCTCAGCTCCCCAGATACTTATAATCAAAACCTACTTCATTTTCCCAGATATAGTATTATAATTATTATAAGTAAAATTAACTAAAAAGTAGTTTTTTTCATTATTACATAGCATTACTGCAGAATTTTCTCCCCCACCTCAGATTTTTTAAACATAATTATTTGTAAATCTTTGCTCATAGACCAAAATAAGTAAAACCAAAAATTGAGAATGGAGCTTCATAATATTCCTGAAGCCAAGGGGCATTTTTGTAGCTTGGTTTTCTGAGGAACAAAGGACAATGTATGTATACATACACAAATAAGACATGATACAGTGTCTGGAAGTTATGCAAGAGACAAAAGGCACTGCATAATTGAAATGATGGCTTCCATGAGGCACAGAGGTACATATGTCTTCATGACACCAACACAAGCAGTTGGCAAGTGATACAAAGTCAATGACTTCACTGTTGAGGTATTGTGAAGCAACTCATGATTTGTCTACTCATTAAAGGGATGGAGGTTCTCCATCGTTTTGTTGTAGGTTCACAATTTTTTTTTCATTGTTGTTTTTAAATAGAACTTCTTGGCTGCATCAGAGTATTCTGCTACATTCTAAACAGAGCATCCAGGCCACCCATACATTCCTCTCACTCCTTGATATACAGCTCGCCAGTCCAAGAACAACTGGACTTCTTTGTATTTAAGAGAGCAATACCAGATGTTCTAACTTTAAAAGGCAGAAGTTGTCTCAGGATTCTAATTATCAATTCAAACAATACATATTTATACACATATACATATATGGTAATCACACTTCAAAAGCATAACCTCTATTGCAAACATCTTTAATTCAAAGGAAACAACACATTTTTTCACATTTCAGCTTTAATAAAATTCACATTTCAAATTAATGCAAGTGAAGACAACAAGTTCTAAATAAATGTATTTAAATATTAAATAAGAATTATAAAATTTAACTTGGTACATGATGATTTGACAAATATATTACTAACAGTCATATACAAAAAAATCATTATTTCTCACTGGTACTCTCAGATATAATTTACACAATTATATGTTTAATTAGATTGTAAAGAAAATAATATATCTAGTAAAAATAAAATACAATCACACAATTTTTAATATCTAATTTTCAATATGTGATTCAAACTCTGTTTTACAAAATTATAAATTACTGTATACACAAAAAGATAAAGCAAGAAAGACTCCATTCTGTGACAGGACACAGCTACCAGTTATTTCTGGGAAGTCTCTTATTTTACTCGTCTTCATATCCATAAAATTATAAATTTCATCTTTTTTTTACATTTTGCATGATTTGAGGCACTTTTTCTTCACATTAGATGTACATTCTTAGGAAATGCCTATGGGGGGAAAAGAAGAACCATATCATTTATGACCTGGTTTTTAGAATACTTATAAACATGTACAGTTTCAATAGTTTATTTTATTTTGCTTAAAGAATCTGTGGACTCCTAATTTACAGTCTAATCCTGAGAATGCAGACTAATTCGTGTGCAGAGGGGCAGGAAGGTTGATCAGTACTTTTAGAGACTTTAAATATTGACTTTTCCCTTAAAGATTTATGATATCTAGACATACCAAAACAGAAAAGAATTTGACACCTTGTGAACAACTCATTAAATATCCCTAACATTTATTAATCTGTAATATTGATTGCAAACCTTATTAAATAAATAATTCGAAACAGATAACTCATAGAGAAAAATCACTAAGTCTCTAAAATCTATAATTTTCAAAAGTCATGTTTATCAGCTCTGTCTTCTATGATCTAGCCCAGGAGAATGTAAATTTGTGTACATTATCTTAAATTATAATACAGCACTTGTTTGGGAAAACTTTTCCAGTATTGTGTTGTTTCGGGACTTTAGGTAAATTTACTCATTTACATGGAATATATTAAAAACGAAGAAAGAGATAAATATAACTTGGTTTAGGCCATTTCAATAACCAAGTGAATTATCTTGATTTATGTTTTGTGTTGTTCAAAAGAGTTGAAACCAGGCACGGTGGCTCATGTCTGTAATTCCAACACTTTGGGCAGCCAAGATCGAGGATCACTTGAGCCCAAGAGCTTGAGACCAGCCTAGGCAACACAGTGGGACTCTGTTGCCACCAAAAAAAAAAAAAAATTAGATGAGCATGGTAGCATGAGCCTGTAGTCCCAGCTACTTGAGAGGCTAAAGTGGGAGGATCACTGGAGCCTGAGAGGTTGAGGCTACACCAAACTATGATCAAGTCACTGAACTCCAACCTGGGCAACAGAGCAAGACCTTGTCTCACAAAAAAAAAAAAAAAAAAAAAAAAAAAGGAAAGAAAAGAAAGAAAGAAAAAAGCTTTGAAACAGGTAGGTTGAGAGTAATTGAATTAAGTATCCTGCCACTACAATAATCTAGTTTATTTTCTTAATCTAAAAAATTTTTTTTTCAATTTAGCAACTGTAGATATGCAGAACTAACAGTTCTAATTATTATCATTAATGTGTAATAATCAATTTTAAAGTAAGACTAAGTATAGCAACAATAATAGGTCAGGATTGTCTCAGTAATTGTCACAACAAAACTGTGAGATAGTTTAAGTAAATCCTCATGCAGTTATTTATGATATTGATACTGAGTTACACTGGCCAGTTCAAGATATTCATGATTAATTTTAGACTACAAGTCCTCTATGACTTTTTTTTTTTTTTTGACGGAGTCTTGCTCTGTCGCCAAGCCTGGAATGCAGTGCCATGATCTCAGCTCACTGTAATCTCCACCTCCTGGGTTCAAGCAATTCTCCTGCCTCAGCCTCCCGAGTAGCTGAGACTACAGGCACGCACCACCACACGGCTAATTTTTGTATTTTTAGTAAAGACAGGGTTTCACGATGTTGGTTAAGCTGGTCTCGAACTCCTGACTTGAAGTGATCCACCCGCGTCAGCGTCCCAAAGTGCTGGGATTACAGGTGTAAGCGACGGTGCCCAGCCATCCTCTTATGACTTTCACTCCCACCTTCACAACTGAGGAACCAGTTGCCTTAAAAGGACTTGTCCATGGTACTGAAATGCTGACCCAAAAAAAGTTGACTTGGTACTACACTGCGAAAGAACTACTGATTAGAGAAATATTTGCAAAGAAATAAGTATCTTTCAGTATTTTGTATAGAGTCTACTTTTTAAAATAAATGTTACAATTTACATTCAATTTATTTAGGATCGTACAAATACTTTATTGCCCAAGGGCTCCTACCATAAATTAGCCAGAATGAAAATTCTGGTTTACCATTTCACTCTTGTAAAGTAATAGGCTAGAGCAAGAAATAATTACATGTTCATCATCTTTTTTATTCTTTGCTTTTTCTCTTATTATTACAATATCTTCTCTCTGTTTCCTACTTAGAGTACCAAAACTGTACCAAAGTTTTAAGACCTGTCTTCATTTTTATTATATATTTTGGACAGTTAAAAAATAGAACTGTATAAGTACTTTTGTTCATCTAATGTCTATCTGCGTAATGTTTCTGCACAATCATGAAACAACACTAAATGCTGAAAGATTTTTGGAAATCTCTCAAGGCTGGTAAGGTTGTCAAAAAACTATTTTAATTCAATCACTGCTGAGGATATTTTAAACTAATTCATTAAAACGGTCTTTTCATTTGGACCAAGTTTTAACATTTAGTGAAAAATCCATAGATTAAGTTCACAGGTATTGCTAAAATAGGCTTCCTGGCTTCTGACATTATTCAAACATTTTCTTAAGAAGATTAGGCTATTAACAGAGTGAAGAGACAACATGTAGAATGGGAGAAAAGATTTGCAAACTATCCAGCTGACAAGGGACTAATATCCAGAATACACAAACAATTAAACAGCAAAACCCAGATAATCTGATTTAAAAGAGGGCAAAGTATCTGAACAGACATTTCTCAAAAGAAGACATACAAAAGTCTAACAAATATATGAAAAAAATGCTAAATATCACTAATCATCAGGGAAATGCAAATCATAACCATGATGAGATATTATCTCACGCCAGTTAGAATGGCTATTGTCAAAAAGACAAAAACAAATGCTAGTGAGGAGCAGAGAAAAAGGAACCTTTATACACTGTTGGTGAGAATGTAAATTAGTACAGCCATTATGAACAACGGTGTGGAAGTTTCTCAAAAACAAAACTAAAAATGGAACCACCATATAACCCCAAAAATCCCACTACTGGGTATTTATCCAAAGGAAAGAAATCAGTATATCAAAGGGATTCCTGCATCTCTATATTAACTGCAGTACTAGTCACAATAGCCAAGACAGGCAATCAATCTAAATGTCCATCAGTGGATGAATGGATAAAGAAAATGTTGTGTATATACACAAAGGAATATTATTCAGCTATAAAAAGAATGAAAAGCTACCATTCAAGGTGGCATGGATGAAGCTGGAGGACATTATGGTAAGTGAAGTAAGTCAGGCACAGAAAGATAAATATTCTCACTCATATAAGGGAGCTAAAAATAATTAAGCTCATAGAAGTAGAGAGCAGAAAGTTGGGTATTAGAAGATAAAGAGGGCCAGGAATGGTGGCTTATGCTTGTAATCCCAGCAGTTTGGGAGGTTGAGGCCGGCGGATCACTTGAGGTCAGGAGTTTGAGACCAGCTTGGCCAACATGGTAAAACCCCGTCTCTACTAAAAATACAAAAAGTAGCCAGGCATGGTGGCACGTGCCTGTAGTCCCAGCTACTTGGGAGGCTGAGGCAGGAGAATCGCTTGGACCTGGGAGGCGGAAATTGTAGAGATTGTACTACTGCACTCCAGCTTGGAGACAGAGCGAGACTCTGTCTCAGAAAAAAAAAAAAAAGAAAGAAAGAAAAAAAAAAGGCTAAAGAGGAGTGGGAGGCACAGCTGGGGAGCGGTTGGTTAGTGAATACAAACTACAGCTAGACATGAGGGTTCTGGGGCTCTGCAGCACTGTAGGGTGAATCTGGTTAACCGTAATTTATTGTATATTTTTGTAAAGCTGCAAAAGAAGGTTTTGAATGCTCACAGTATAAAAAATAATAAATGTTTGAGGCATATCAAACATTTATTAGTATTAAATTTTAGATTAAAATTTAAATTTAATTTAGATTATTTTTCATAGACCACGACTCTACCTCCCACAGAGCTTGGGTAGGGGGAAGAGCTCTCAGGCACATTCTTTTAAGGGCATGGAAGTATGTAAAGTGTTGTTATATTAGTTAAATTAAATTTTAAATTAGTATCACATTTTGGTTAAGTATCAAAATGTCACACTGTACCCCATAAATACGTACAATCATGTGTCAACTAAAAAGAAAAGGAAAAAATGTTAAAAAATAAAGTTAGACTATTAAACAGGATAAGAAAAATAAATATATACTCACAGGGTAGGTTTGCTAGGTCTGGGAGCACAGTGGACTCACTGCTAATCTTGTTAACAATCTAGCACATCTTTTGTAATCTAGGAAAAACATTTAAAGATAAATTATGTATAGAGTTACTAGAAATGTTGGGGAAATCCTGTTATTGTTGTCACTAATTCATATAACAATAACTACAATTTAATAAATAGCTACTATGTCAAGTGGTGAAAATGGATTTTCTCATCAATTCTTTTAATAACACGATCTTGAAGGTGCTATTCCTATATTCACTTTAGAGGTGAGACAAGAGCCTCAGAATGTTAATTAATCACCCCATAACTAGTCAAAAGCTTTATGCCAAAGCATGTGCTTTCTCCACCATGCTTGGCTACCATTAGTCATTCTGCCTGTAATCCAATGTGATTGACTTTCTCTAGCCATTTAACACAAGTTGTTTTATTTTATTTTATTTTGGAATTTTTACTTATTTATTTATTTATTTATTTATTTTTATTTTGAAGCCAGATTGTAAGATTGGCTAACTTTTGTATTTTTGGTAGAGACAGGGTTTCACCATGTTGCCAAGGCTGGTCTCCAACACCTGAGCTTAAGCGATCTGCCTGCCTTGACCTCCTAAAGTGCTGGGATTACAGTCGTGAGCCATCCCACCTGGCCTAAACACAAGTTGTTTTTGAAAAACATTATAACAAATACAACTTAACATGCTGAGTAAAAGTCAATACTCCTCAAGATGAGCAATCTAGTTAAAAAGAAACAAAATGCTTAGAATTCATGTTCTTTAAAAGGAAAGTTGAGGCTTAGAAAGGAATTTAGAAACAGCAAACGGAGTTACCACACACAGTCATAATTTTGGCACTTTAAATGACAGTGCTTAAATATTATGTTTAGAATTATTATTAACTTCAGTAACTAAAGTATCCAAAAGAATTCATTATAGCAACCTTTACATGCTATCATTACTCAGAAAAATCCAGCATCATTATATAAATGATGTGATATAAAAAATATTTACTTTAAAATAACTTAGGAAAAAATTTTTACTTAGAGTTCACAGTCATCTCATTTTTTTTCATTTATTTGAGACAGCACCCTATTTATGCCAAAGAATTTGAATCATGATAAAATGTTTAAATCCTAACAAACACTTTGGTCTTTAAGGAAATCTGGCTATTATCAGATTTGAATAGATTCCCAATTAGAATGTGGTTTCATTCCTTACAGCAACAGTACACACAAACCTTAGGTACTGTCAGTGTTATAAATCAGTGTTATAAATAGAATGTCAATGGTTAGTCTACTTCTTCCCATCCACAGACATTTGAAGTTTAAAATTACACACATTTATTGTTGGATAATTTTTTTTTTAAAAAACCCACCCATGTTACTTACAAGCTGGTGTTGAGCACTCCCTGGTATTGTAATAGAGTCGGTGGAAATGTTTGCTGCATTCTGGTGAAAATGTGACTGGCCCTAGAGCACAGGAAAAGAATGCTTATTATAAACATAGGCATGTTTTCCAAACAAATTTCCTAGCACTTTATGGGTGGATACAATATAACAGCACTTTACATACTTCCATGCCCTTAAAAGAACATGCCTGAGAGCTCTTCCCCCACCCAGGCTCTGTGGGAGGTAGAGTTGTGGTCTATGAAAAATAATCTAAATTCATTCCACATTCTCAACATCTCACATAATGGAATCTTCACATGTAGTACAACTATGTAGAAAAATTAAAAGAAAAAAGTTCTGGACAGATAATAAAAAGACTGTAGAGAGCAAATTGAGTGCATGACAAGTACAAAAAATAAGTATCTTTGGTTTCTACTTTCTGTTTTTATCTAAAGCAATTAATGTTTACATGCCAAGACATTTATTCCATTTTCTAATTATAGTAATTTGTGTCGTATTAGTGTCTAGGATAATTGTAAAATGGAATGGGCAGGGCCTTGAGAAGTCCTTTGTCTCTCCCTTTAAATCCAAGGTAGGGCCCATCAAGACTTTCATCCCGGATGGGGAGTAGTGGCTCACGTCTGCAATCCCAGCACTTTGGGAGGCCAAGGCAGGAGGATCACTTGAGCTCAGGAGTTCAAGAACAGCCTAAGCACCATAGTGAGACCCTGTCTCTGCAAAAAATAAAAATAAAAAATTAGCCAGGCATGGCAGCACACACCTGTAGTCCCAGTTCAGTTACTCTAGAGGCTGAGGCAGGAGGATCCTTGAGCCCAGGAGTTGGAGGCTACAGTGAGCTATGACTGCACCACTGCACTCCAGCCTGAGCAACAGAGTAAGACCCTATCTCAAAAAAAAAAAAAAAAAAAAAAAAATACACACAGAACAACAACAAAAAAAAAATGTTCATCCCTCCGTCCCTCTGGTGTCTGCTTCTCGTGGGGTCCAGTCATGTCGCTAACGGCTGCCTCAAAAGGCTCAACATCCCCACACATCCCTGTGCCCTGCAGGTGCATCTCCACTTGATCCTCAGGACCATCCTTTCCGTTAATAAACAGGTAGGGCCCTTGGACTTGACTAAGTGGGCAAACCACATCTTTCCCACATCACAGGCCTGAGGTGTAAAAGAAAAAAAAAGTAGCTGGGATGACTGGGAACAGAGAGGTAATGCCAATAGTAAATATGGGGGTGTACTGTCCACAATAATTCAGTGATTTGCTAGAAATTGGGGCACAGGACGATGTGCAAATGATTCACAAAGTCGATATGAAGAACAAAACAGTGTCATGGGACAGTATTTATCTGTGCTCACGATGTGGCAGGTGGGCCTGGTGCAGTGGCTCACAACTATAATCCCAATGCTTTGGGAGGCCAAGGCAGGAGGATCACTTGAGCTAGGAGTTCAAGACGAACCTGGGCAACATAGTGAGACCCCATCTCTAAAGAAAATAAAAAATTAGCTGGGTGTGATGGCATAGTAGTCCCAGCTACTTCGGAGGCTGAGGTGGGAGGATCCCTTGAGCCTATTTGTTCAAGGCTGCAGTGAGCCATGATCTCACCACTGAACTCCAACCTGAGTGATGGAACCAGACCCTGCCTCAAAAATAAAAAATTTTTGGCCTGGCGTGGTGGCTCACACTTGGAGGCTGAAGCAGGCAGATCACTTAGGCCAGGAGTTTGAGACCAGCCTGACCAACATGGTGAAACCCCATCTCTACTAAAAATACAAAAAAGTAGCCGGGCGTGGTGGTGCATGCCTGTAATCCCAGCTATTTGGGAGGCTGAGGCAGGAGAATTGCTTGAACCCGGGAGGCGGAGGTTGCAGTGAGCCGAGATCATGCCACTGCACACCAGCCTGGGCAACAAGAGCGAAACTCTGTCTCAGAAAATAATAATAATAATTAATAAACAAATATATTTTTAAAAGATGTAGTATATGAAAGTCTGTCCCTCCCCGTTCAAAACATTTCTATTGCCCCCTCTCTCCCTACCTCCCACCGACTGGGGAACATAGTCTGAATTCCCCAGCATGCCGTTTAAGATTATCCACAACGTGACTCCAAGCTACCTTTCCAGCCATATATTTGACCAGGGCCACATACGTCCCACATACCTAAGCCCACCCACAGTCCATGCATACCTGTCCTTGCCTAAACCACACCCTGTGCCTTCATGGCTTACTCAATGCACTCCTTCTGAACAGAAGGTCTCTCTCACCACGAGAAAGCCTTATTCATCCCTTAAAGCCCACCTTAAATACTGTGTCTACTACAAGCCTTTCTTGGTAGTTCTTGGTCACATTATTCGCTTCCTGTGTGTCCTTAAAAAGTGGTTCATACTTCTATTACTTATTAAGGGCTGGTTTACATTACAGTTAACACAAGTTAGTAGCATCCGTCCATCTCCCCAACTGGACCATGAGTCACTTACAGACATTTATTTTCATATCCCTAGTGCCTGACATAGTAACCTGCACACATTCTTTTTATTTAGTTAATGGAATCACTGATAAATTTTGTACTTACCTGTGAAATGCTTTATGAATTTGTCTTTTAAGTTAGAATCTCTTGGGAATATTTCTGAAAAAGAAAAAAAACCTTCAGAATTTCTTGAATGCATTTCTCCCATTTAAAAATATCCTTAATACTTCGGGAGGCCGAGACGGGCAGATCACGAGGTCAGGAGATCAAGACCATCCTGGCTAACACGGTGAAACCCCGTCTCTACTAAAATATACAAAAAACTAGCCCGGCGAGGTGTCGGGCGCCTGTAGTCCCAGCTACCCGGAAGGCTGAGGCAGGAGAATGGCGTAAACCCGGGAGGCGGAGCTTGCAGTGAGCTGAGATCCGGCCACTGCACTCCAGCCTGGGTGACAGAGCAAGACTCCGTCTCAAAAAAGACCAAAAATCCGAAAAAAAAAATCCTTAATATGCTAAATACTTAATAAGGCACTAAACACATGAATTCGTGACAGTTTATTTAGCTGAGTCCAAACAGATATCTCCAGCCCTGACCATTTCCTGGGCTCCAAAACTCCAGTACACCTACCTCACCGCTTGCTCTACGGCATGAAGGGTACCTTACAGCCCTCTCAAAAGTGCACAGTCGCAATGGAAGGTCTCCTTTTCCTCTGCCCAGACCTGTTTGTCCCCATGTTCCTCAGTCCACTGAAGACTGACTGAAGTGGCATTGCTCTTGATCAGGCCCCAGCTCAAGAAGTTATGCTTGACTTCCTTTTTCCCTCACCACTACACCCAACCCATGAGTTAGTTTTATGTATTCCACCTCCAACAAATTATTCCAGACCCACTCACTTCTTTCTCCTTCCCTCAACATGAGTCTGGCCCAAGCCATCGTCCTTTTGTGACCATGCCTTGGCAGTGGCCTCCTAACCCCTCCTCTACTGCCCATAATCATCTTTCTCCCCAGTAGCCAGAACAAACAAACTGAAATGTACTATAGGTCATGATCTCTCCCACTTGGAAGGCTTTGCACTTAATATATAATAAAATTTAAAAATAAAAGTGTATCTCAGGCTTTACCTTGTACTCACTAAAACTACACCATCCAGAAAATGCAATTTATACAAACAACTGGGAGCACGTGCAACACTTTCAAAGGAAAGGAAAACTTAAACTTTAGTAAAATAGTGGAGCCTCAAGGTTTGTTGGTAGGTATACATTTAAACTTACAACATTGTAAGAATATAATAGGGAAGTGAACGTTTGTCATCCCTCTCTAGGAGAGTCTGAGCCACCACGGTGATGAGTGTGACTTCGCCAGGACAAGGCAGTGGTGACTGAGGCTTGGAAAATGCAGACGCAGTAACTCTAACTGTTCCTTACATGCCATGAGCTCCTGAGGGACATCAGAACCCCTTTCCTGGGCCGGGAGCTCCCCAGCTTGGGGGAGCCTTCTGCGAGTTCAGGGCCTGGCTCAGGGAGTGATTGTGTGGGTGCACCAGGAATGCAGAGAGATCGGAGCTCCCCTCCCATTTGACAATGAACACCTGCACTTTACAAACAATTAAAACTAATCCAGGAAAACAAAGCAGCAGTAAAATGAAAGTACTTCATCACATAAACCTTTCCTCTTCTCTCCGATAATGCTCCACTCAAACATAGGTCTTTTCCCCTGTACTTCTCAGAAAGCAAAAATAGCAAATTGGCTTCTGTGGTGTCAATATTTGGGCCAGGTAGTTACAGTGGTGCATTCTGAAAAATGAATGAGAGCTGAGTACAGCAGAAGCACCTACTGTGGCTAAGGCGTGCTCAAAGACTTCATAAATAATTCTATTTCTGAAAGCATTTTAGAGTATCATTTTAATCTCTAGACCCTGTGACAAGGACGACACTCAGGTGTGTAGAAAATTGCATATTTTAAGTAAATTACCCTCCTCATCTCCGCCCCATAACACATTTTATAAGATGTCACATTCTGGTTAGCATGACAGGGCACCGTGCGTGTCTGTCTTCCCCGCAATTATGGCTTCCTGAGGAAAAGGATGTGGTCTTGTCCCCCTGTACAACCCGGCTTTGCTGGCAGAGGCACCTGGCACGTGTTCAAGGAATAGGAAGCCGAGAGGGCTGCTACTGCTCAAATGGAAACATCAGTGCCTTCTTGCACTCAGTACAGCCCACCAAGAAAACCACAATTTCAATACACTTGAATTTTAACTTCAAAGCACAAACATCATATAGGAATACAAGAATGTACAACAGATTGATTTAACTGAAACAGAAAAGTGGTGTTTAAGTCCATACCTGAAGTAACAAGCCAGAGATAAGAAGGTAAGAAGAGATGGGAATGGGGAGGATTGCAGCCTGTTTAAGTATTGGGAGAAATGTCTAGAGCTGCTGAAGAAGAGGTGGGTGACACAAGACCGCAGGCACAGGTGGGCTTTAGAGTCAAGTTGTACACAAACTTTGTGCTTAATTCTGTAGGTGATGAGAAGTCAAAGGGCTTTAGGCAAAGGAAAGGCAAGGTTAAGCTACATTTTCAAAAGATCATTGAGGGAGGGAGGGAATGGGGAGAATTGGTCAAAGGATTCAAAGCTGCAGATGGGTAGGATGAGCAAGTCTAGACGAGGACTGCAGGGAGTAATGATGTGTTGTATGTGGAACAATGGTTGAGAGAGCAGAGTTCAGGAGTTCTCACCATCAAAAAAAAAGGGTAACTGTGAGATGATGGATGTGATTTGCTTGACCACAGTAACCACTGCACTCTGTATACATATATCAATACATTATGCTGTGCACTCTAAAGACATACAATAAAAATAAATAAAATTATATACACCATTTAAACATTTTTTAATAAGCAAACTTCGTTTTTTTGAGACAGAGTCTTGCTTTGTTGCCCAGGCTGGAGTGCAATGGTGCAATCATGACTCACTGCAGCCTCCAACACCTGGGCTCAAGCAGTCCTCCTACCTCAGCCTCCCAAAGTGTTGGAATTAGAGACATGAGCCACTGAGCCCAGCATCAACTATTTTTAATAATAAAAAACAATTATGCCTAAGTATTGTGAAAGGAAAATAAATCTCAGGACCCCAAAATCACTAAGCCAAGGGAAAAGTCAAGCTGGGAACTATGTCAGGCAAACCTGCCTCCCATTAATTCCTAAATAAGATAGTTACAAAGATAAAAAGCCACATACCTCCCTCATGATCTGTCCACAAGAAAATTCTTTGTGGATGGAGGATAGAGAGAACTCGAAGTCATCCCTCTGAGGCTCACCTGAGACAAATACATATGATTGTTTCCTCTGCCCTATTGTTTATGTAAAACTGCAGATTCACCGAGCCACACTAAACTGTTTATTCAGTGGAAGGCTGATCAAGGACTCAAAAGAATGCAAACTTTTGTCCCTTATCTACTTCTGACCTGGAACCCCCCCACCCACCTCCCTCCCTGCACATACCCCTTTCCCCTCAAACCCGTTTCACCTCCCCCATCCCCCTTAAACTTGTCTTGCCTTACTGAGCCCAACCAATGTACATCTTCTACATACTGACTGATGTCTCATGTCTCCCTAAAATGTATAAAAGCAAGCTGTACCCCAATCACCTTGAGCACATGTCAGCAGGACCTCCTGAGGTTGTGTCATGGGTGCATCCTTAACCTTGACAAAATAAACTTTCTAGATTGATTGAGACCTATCTCAGATACTTTTTTTTTTTTTTTTTTTTGAGACGGAGTCTCGCTCTGTTGCCCAGGCTGGAGTGCAGTGGCGCGATCTCAGCTCACTACAAGTCTCAGATACTTTTTGGCTTACAGTACAGAGGGCAAAGAATAGATGCAGAGAGATAAGTTAAAAGGTTTACAGTCATGTGCTGTTTAATGATGGGAATACGTTTGGAGAAATGCATCATTAGGTGATTCCTTCATTGTGGGAGCATCATAGAGTGCACTTACATAAACCTTGGTGGGAGAGCCTCCTGCACACTCAGGCTATTGCTCCTAGGCTACAAAACCTATTGTGCTGAATACTGTGAGCAGCTGTAACACCATAGTGAGTATCTGTGAATCTAAACATATCTACACATAGAAAAGGAACAGTAAAAATACAGTATTATAATCTAAGGACCACCATGGTATATGCAGTCTGTAGATGACAGAAACGTCCTTTTGTGGCACGTGACTATAACTGTATTGACTAGCACTGGCCTATGCAGGGGCTAGCAAACAACAGCTCCTGAGGCAGATCCAGCCTGCACCTGTGTTTGTGAATAAAACTCTGCTGCAACATGCCCACATCCATTTGTTTAGGGGTCGCCAGTGGCTGCTTTTTCACTACAAGGGCAGAACTGAGTAGTTGCTGCAGAGATAGTATGGCTCACTGTACAGAGCAGAAAAGTTCCTCTTCAAAGCTCCTCTTGGTTTAAAAATAAAATAATAGACACTAGGAATAATAGCTCCTTACTCCAAAGCGTCTTATCACCTACTAGTTCTTACACTTTAGCCCAGTTAGTTGCTTTGGCTTGCATGTCTGGACAGGCCCAGGCAAGTCTTAGCTCATAGCTTATGCCCCTTCCTTGTTTGGAAATGTTATTGCTTCCTTAAACCTTTTGTAAGCAACTTCCTTTTCTTCTTTATTCTCCCTTGAACTTAGCTATTTAGGGAAGTTTTTAGGTTATTAGCACACCGGGTATCAGTTTAAGACTGTGAGGTCCAGCTCCAGCCAATGGATGCAGGACACAGCAGTAAGGACGACCCAAATGCGTAAGGGATAAATATGTCTGCTTTTCCTTTGTGCAGGTGTGCTCTCACCATTGTTCCATCTGCGAGAGGCATCCTTTCTGTAGATAGTAAAGATTGCCTTGCTGAGAGATCCTTTGTCTCCACGCTTTTCTTTGCAGCACCAATTATCTGTTTCTAACACTCACAAAGCCCAAAATATTGACTATGTGGCCCTTTCTAAAGAAAGTTTGCCAATCCCTGCTCTGCAGCACACTCCTATTTGTATAAAAACAAACTAAAATGGTGGGAGGTGCCAGGGAGCAGAATTCTGGGGATGGAGAGAAGAGATACTTTTCCATGCACACCCTTTTTATTACTTTTAACTTTTTTGAACATAA